GGTACTCGCTAGAAACTATAACCGGCAAGTTATTATACTCTCAACAAAGGCCCTAAATCATCTTGTTATGTCATCCAGCTCGGGCGTCATCTTTATAGAAGATGTTTTGGCGTTCAAATCATAAATCTGAAACAGAATTCGAGATTATTTGATCCTAGCTAGTTCATACTTCTATCTGCGGTTGCAACCGCCCTGCGATGCCGCAAAGGCCCATTAAGGAGCCCGGGGCTTGAAGCTCCAAGTCTGACTGATGGATGGGGTAGTACGACGCAGTAGAAACAAGGCGGGAATGGGCAACCGTAAGACAGTTAGAGATATAACACAAGAACCCGTCAAAACTCGACGTTTTTTTTTAATATATAACTACAGATATGATTAAGAACTGAGTGATCCAGACCGTTAAGGAATAGCATAATCTTTCATAACTTCCCGTGTTTGGTAAATAATAAAATTGTCACATAAAAGACGTTTTTCATATAGAAATTTGATTGGTAAAAAATAATAATAATCAAATCCTGCAGTGAAAGAGTATCTCTCGTCACTAAAATTCAGATATCCCACACATTTTTGTTTGTTCTAAAGACATTAACTAATAAACACGTTTAGTACATCAAGTATCACAACGCTTTAATTTAAACTTTAAAACATTCATTCCAGTCTGTCACGTCAGTTAGCGATCAACTAAGGCTGACGTGAACGACAGGCTTGCCCCATGTCAGCATCTGAAAATTTAATTTCAAAGTTACTTACATTCCATCCGTTTTGGCCGGTCTTGTTTACGTCTAGGCATGCTGCAAAATCGTACGGAGCTACTCCAGCTACAAGCGGCTGACTTTTACACCAAAAAGCGCTCCGAAAGCAGCGAGAACACCCAGCACTTCCCACTGCTGACCTCCCATTCAGTAAACTGTGAGTAAAGAACGTGACGTCAGGGAGATAGACAGGTGGCGCGCTAAGAATCATAGGAACTATTTTCCTCTCTTCCATAATAGAACTTTAAGTACGCCATCTAGCGTACATCATAATACTTTTGCAATTATTTTTCTGAACCCTACTATTAATCTTGTCGCCTATCAACACAACAACGAACATCTCCCATGTAAAAAAGTCATACCTCTACAAAAAAAAAAAATTAATATAAAAATAATAAAAGTAAGGACGAGTGCGCACGCAAAAAAAAAGTTTTCCACAAAGACTAACTTTCAAGCCCGAAAAAGTAAAACAGTTTTAAAATTAAACAATACTGCGGATAGCGCCACTCGCTTTAAGAAGCAGTTCTGGTACGAACGTTTTCGACACACCTACAAAACTTGCTGTATTTCAAGTAGTTCAAACCAACTAATGAAGTGGTATTAATTCAAACTTTTATTTACTACTTTTACTTTGCCAAAATACATAATTACCTGGGGCTTCCCAGCGTTAACTACTAAATAACATAGTTCATCTGAATCCAGGATACGACTCAAAGTATCTCAATAGTTTGTAGTGGGTGCTGTTGACTATCTGCTTTCCATCTAGTCTATGAATTCAAAATTAGGGACGGCTATAGCTGTGCACAAAACTATAAAACAAGTTTTTCATTCAAAATATTTCTAACGTCCCTCACAACTTATGAAGTGCGGCTTGTCTGTGACAACTGTTCATAAATATAGAAATCTGATTACACACATAAAACTGTCACAAAACTATTGAAATACAGGTTCAATTTTAAAATAGTGGTGTTGCTTTTAATAATAAAAACAAACTACTGATATAATCTACATATCAATTTTTAATACGTACACAAGTAGAATGAAAACACCCGTATTTCAAGTATTTTCAAATAGATGTGTAAGAACTTTAAGAACAATTTATGTTATACTATCAAAACAATATTTATGCTTTCAGCCATCATTTGGCTAGTTCGGCATGTAGAACATTCATACAACGACTAGCCTAAAGTTGGAATTTCAAATACTATCAGCCTTCATATATTTGATGAAAATAAACCCGCCATCTGTTGAGGGTTTTGTCGAGTAAGCGAGGTGAAGTAAATGATTGAGAATTTAACTTTTGTTATAAAAAATTTCAAACTATTATACATATATATTACCAGTTTGTAGTTACTTTGTTAGGATGTTCTTATTCTGAAGGTGGTTTACCAATGTTTCTGAATATTGAGTAAGTTAGTTAGAAAAAACAATATAGTTAAAATAAATAAATGAAATAATCCTTACCCTAATTCTGATGTGTTGTGACATATTAATGAAAGAATTACACTTTACCAACTTAATTCATTTCACACCGAAACAGTTGTCGTCAAGCGATTTGCTAATAGAAACAACTTCTCAACTATTATATGTCTGTCGTATCCCAACTAGTCTGAACAGCCTTGGTACTAGACGAAAGACCTGGTTGTCACTGGAAACAGCAGTTAATGTGATTGACACATTCTTATATACTCTTTCATTTAGATGTCATTATTAATAATTAATTTAGCTCTAGGGTATAAGTTACTTTTCTTTAAAGAATCACGAAAATGTGATATTGTTGAACAAATTTCAGAACATTAGAGGATCTTTCATTAGGCCAAAATTTCACCATTTAAAAGTTTCCAAAGTTTAAATCAATTTAGAAATGTTCACTCTACAATGCTTAGTTAGAATAAAGATTTAAGTTTATCTTCTAAAAGTTTAGTTTTATATATTTTTTAAAAACCAGAGAAAATCTTCCAAAAATTCAAGCTTTTTATTTATCTATTTTGTAATATAAACAATGCTGTTTAGTGGAATGGTTATGACAAAAGTAAATACGTTTAGAGGTTATCTTTAAAGTTAAAAACAAACAAACAAAAACACTGTGTGAAGCATAGCATACTTATGAATTTTACACAATATTATGTGTACAAAAGTTTTTTTACCATTACTTCCTAATTTATTGTTAAGCACAAAGCATCACATTGGGCTATCTGTGCCCTACCCTCTGCATGAACCGAACTTTAGCATTATAAGTTTACCATTGACCCACTTGGGTGCTTCAGATAAATTCATCATACCCATTAATCTTGTAACGTGCACATGACCTTTCACCAAGAAACCATTAAAGTCAATAATAAACTAAAAAACTTTTTTTTACAGTCAAGTATTCTTATTTCACTTTCTTCATATATATAAAAGGTAAATAGAATAGCACATACAAAAAGTTAATGTAAACATTCATATTATGAAAGGATTTTTTGAAGCCACAAGTATGAGCAAAAACATTTTATACAATGTCTGAAGTTAATTTCACTAGTAATATTACATAGCTTTTTCACTATACTGCATGCAAAGCTTTATGTCAAATATTTCCAACTTTCTGAATGATTTTATTAAATGCATGTTTAAAATGCTGATATTTTGTATTATAAAAGATCTACACTATATTGTAACATGTCACCATAGTATTATCAACCAAAACCATCACAAAATCAGATGAAAAAACAGATTTATTGAAATTTTTTTTAACCAATCAAATCATTTGTACCACACTTCTAAAATCTGTACAAAACCTCACTGTCATTTACTTGACACTTCATAAGGTAATTCAAGGCACAAAATTTTCTTACAGAATTCTGGTTGGTAATGCCAACAATTTCAGTAATACACAGGTCATGTCCCTATGCAATATAAAAAAATTATTAAACCAAAACTAAGATAGACCCTGAGTGACCATCACTAAATATTCACACCACAGCAATGTCCATATACCTTAATAAATACAAAACCCACTTTACCAAATTTGACCTTCGTTTCAGTTTTTTTTTCTCATGGGTAAGACTAGACATCAACAGTTTTATTTCTGAAGCTATAGAAAATAAACTTTTTATATGACTTATCTATACACAGGACCAATCCATAAAAATATATATAAGGAATTTCCAAGAAAATTAAAATAGGTAAACCCAAGTCTTTACACATAACCTTGGTAACTGATACATATATCATCACTAAAACCTTATGAAAATATATTGTTCAGTGCTTTGCTTCTTCAACAACATTTTTAAAACTGTTTATAACGTTGTATTTCAAAAAACACTAAATTATGAATTTTCACATTCGTTTAATTAATGTAGCCAATTTTAATTTTTATAAAGGTTTATTTTGCAAATTTCAATAACAGATGATTCCCACAATCAACTCTTACTAATACAAGTTTTAATATAACCTCAACAAATATAAAGTAAAACTTACTGAACAGGATACTTTAAAACTCAAAAAAGAAACCTAAATCACTACCTTACTTTAAAACGTTTTATTTAATTACACATTTCACAAGGATAATTACAGCATTTTTTACTTTGTGAAACAGCTGATTCAATTCTTAAGTATGGAGAAATGTAAAATAAAAAGAAGCCAGACCTATTTCTTGTCACAGTACTCTACACACAAAACATCATTCCACTGCCCCCCCCCCACACTTTATATTTTTTATACATAAAACACACTTTCACATATCAGTATATCAAGTTGAATTCTTGCATCACCTACCAAAGTATGCAATAGTGGACAAATGACAGTTCAAGTTAAACTATTAATATTCATGCAACTTGCAAAAACTGCTTGAAGAGATACCAACACCTTTTCTAAAATATATTTAATTTTAGTAATTCTACATTATAGTATTACACACAATACTACATTCTTTTCGATGCTACAAGTACATCATGTAGAAAGAGTAAGCAATTTTCAAGTTTAAAGTTTTATTTCTTAAAATTTACTAACAAGCTGAAAAACTAATTCAATTTAGAACTGTACGTACATGTTTAACTGTATGTGTTTATCATCTGATAGCAAAATATTTAATAATGAAAACAGTTCTCTCAAAAGGATTTACAATATTAACAGTTTTAAGTTAATATAAATGCAAAATAATTTTTGTTTTGTAAAATAAACAATATATTTTATAAAATTTACATTAAGTACATCCTGCCTGAATATAGAATATATTTTATATAAAAAAAAAATATTATTAGCAAGAATAAAGAAAAATGTACTTATAATTATCTTGCACAATGTGAAATTCTATATAAAAATTGTATCAGTTTAAACTTAATCAATTTAGTAAAATCTTTTTATTTTTAACCAATAGAAATATATGGTTGGTTTTGGAAATACATTTCTGTTTTGAGCTAAATCTTAACTACTGTAACAGTAACCCAGACAAATGTTTAATACTTTATTCTTCATGCAAAAAAAGAAACATGGAACAATATAAAATCCATATTCACACTTCTTGAATGTATACTGGAAAACTGAAAGATCAACAACAAAATACCAATATAACTGGTTTTGTTTCTACTCAATGTCTTTCATCCAAGTCTTTTAAGCAAAACAATTTTGTGTTATGAAAATCAATTCAAAAAGATCCCGATTAATCATTTTAACTGTACATAAATACACAAGTTGTGTTTAAAATTCAGTGATGTTTTTGATTTAAATAATGATATCAATTATCAATATTTAATAATACAATTTTCACATTAAAAAATTAGTTATCTTTAAGCAATACATACAAAGCATTAAAAAGAATTATACACCACTAAATCAAGCATTAAATTGAAACAATATAACAACTAATAGTACAATTAAGGGTTGCATTATCTTTTGTTAAACTTATCTACAAAGACTTAATACTGACACTGATATCATAGAAGGAAAGCCAACACTCTTTCAAATTTCAGATATATCAGTGTCAAGAGATGAACAGAAATCTTAAAATTATTTGATTAAATATATACCCAAAGTTTTACTTAACTACTATCAGTTGTAATCTACAGTTTTAATTATGTTCATCTCCATTATCAATCCTATGAACAACTTACCACAATTAAAGTGAAACCACCTTTCTTATATTTTTGGTAGCATACTTAACTTGATAGTATTATATGACTAGAACCTTGTCGGAACTAGTCAACGTCAAAACAACACTAACTAAAAATAATACATAATATAACCCCATTTATTAACACAATAATTAAAGTACAAAATACACATGAACCTATGTTTAACATTGTGCATTGATATTTTTAAGCTTCAAAGCAACTATTCAATGACAAACATTCTTTGTGACACAAACTTAAAACTACAGCAAGAACAGGCAGAATTGACTAAACTCTTTACCCTAATGTACCAACAAAGACTAAAACACAAGTAAAAAATAAATACATATTTCCATAAAAATACATTCACTATTCATACAGTGTTAAGAAACAAAATAACTGCTATTAATCTATTTATTCAATCAATTAGCAAACTTTAAAATATCATTATCTGAAAAAAGTCTAAAAGCAAAACAAAACCTATATTTAACATTGTTGTATATTGACTGTAACACATTAAAATAAACATTGAAAATTAGTATCTCACCACATATATCAATCACTCTGTATAAAACCTGAGTACCAAGTCAGTTGTTTAACATGTATTGTGCTTTAAAGTACTAAACTATTATGCTTTGCATATTTTTAACCAAGCACTAAGTGATTATTTCTATCACCCATATTACTTTTAAGCAGTAAGCAAAATTTGATAACTAAAAATCCTAAAAGTTGAAGGAACCCTTTTAAGGATTTATAAGGTTTTCACAAAAACACTGCTACAATGAAAGAGTAAAAATCGTCTAATTTGAGCCCCAACAGACATTAATCTAAAATATTAATAGCATAATGAACATACAATCTCTTTAATATATACCACGATTTAACTGTTTGGAATCTAATATATGCACAACAAACGTTCTTGGAAGACAAACACTATACTCAATATATTAGGCAATAACTGAATTTAATGGTGTGTATTCTAATATACTTAAAAAATAAACATTGAAAATGGCTTCAGTGAACATTTTACAGCATGATCTAAATAAGGGCCTTAAATTAAACAATCTAAAGGACATAATGAACAAACATTACAACACAACTTACACGTTCAACAGACATTTCAAAGTTACAACTAAATATTTCAAACAACTTGTTTATTGATATATATACGTGTGTGTGTATGTGTGAGAAATACAATGAAGATTACAGATTAGATACTTATACATTCTTTTGACAGTTAATCAAGTGGCACCTGAAAAGATCAATTATACAGAAGAGAACTAAATGGTAATTAACTTTAACTCTTAATGGAATAAGACATTTCATGAAAGAAAAAACTATATAATGACAAATTATGCTATACAAACAAAATTGCTGCGAGATCAATTTTGAGTTTATCCTGATTTCTAGAACAACCATTTAATTATAAAAACAATCTCAAATAGCTGAAAATTATCAAATAAAAATAAATTGTAAAGGGTTTATAAAGACAAATGCAGTATAAGATATTCAGGTTCACCTTTTTATTCCATTACAGTAGTAAGCCACCAGGTCAAAACTTCTCACTCAACAAAGGGACAAGTAATTCTTTCCCTTAATGGTTATAAAACTCATCATCACTCAACAAGGTGGTGAAGACCAACAATTTTTTTTAACACATGGTGGTTAACCATCAAGTCACCAAGCCAGCATCTTAACACAATGGTAAACCATCAAGCCAACACTTTCAACCTGGTAGTGAGCCATCAGATCAATACTTTCGACCTGGTGGCGAGCCATCGGGCCAACACTTTCCAAATGGTGGTTAGCTGTATTGCCAACACTTTCAACATTGTTGTGAGCCATCTGGCCAAAATTTTCAACATGGTAGCAGGAGATTAAGCCTACATTTCCAAACATTACAGTGTATCGTAACACTTTCAATCCAACAAAGTCAGTTAATCAGACAGGTTTGGCAGCTGTTATACACTATACAGCTAAAACTCCTCTTACTGTGTGAACCAATACTTCAACAAGAGTAAAAAAACCTTCATTAAGTTAAACTATGCCCACCCAAAATGATGAACTTTCTCATCTCACTAGTGAAATGACCCTTTTTTTAATTTTGTGTAACATCTTACTCCAACAAATCTTTTGTACATTTAATCACACCAACTTTGAGCATTATTAATTCAGTGCAGCAAGTTTATTAGTAGAAGTAAATGGTAACACAAAATTAAGGTTTAAGTTTTAGCATTACAGAACTTCAGAAATAATTACAAACACTATAAAAAGTAGATAGAGGGAAAATACTTTTTATAATTCAGTAAAACTATTCAACATTTTGATTTATAAGTAAAGATGTTTGACATTTTGCAAAGAAAAAAATTTCACTAAACTGCAACATGATGATTATATTGTTGACAATGAAATTAAAAATGTGTTAAAAAAAACAGAAGACAAAGATGAGAGACTTCTAATTAAAAAACAATATATCCGTCCAAGTAACTAAAAGTGTTTTTGTAATACTGTACAATTTTTACAAATTATGCACATGTTATTGAAATCAGAATACTCAAAAGCAGTCTTTGCAGCAGAGAGTTGCAGACACTCCATCTTCTGGTCAGTCTGAATGATCTTGTGATGCACCATTTTTGTATATTAAAACATGCAACTTAATTCATTCTTCTTGGATGGCTGTCTGATATATATATTTATATCTAATAATACATGCACACATAAAAACCTTATAACTGCTGCACCATTTCACACTATCATTTATTATAAAATGTTCCTTGTTCTCTTCTTCTCAGTGTTCTAAGACATGCACATACATAGATCAATTGTTGGTGTTCTAGCAGCATATTAGTGAAAATCACCACCAATAACTGAACATTCAAGTATATCAAATACAGGAAGACAACTTATACTGCAGCCAGATAAAATTTACTTTGATGGATAAAGTGTGTCTAATCTTCGATAAAAGAGTAAGTATGGAACTCTTTGCGGACAGTGAGAGAGGAGATTGGACTCAGTGATAACGGTAATGGTGCTATCATCACAGCGAAGCCAACTGCTACTGCCGACATGGTAGACATCAGTAATATAATGTCCAGTGGCTAAATCTTTTCCTTCATGACATACCACTGAAATTCAGGGAAGCACTTTATAAAATCTTTTTTGATGAGTGAAACAATTTTACAATACAAAATGTACACGTATAAAAAGAAATAAATCAAACATCATCTGAGGTTATTAAAAATGTTTGATCAAAAGTAAGCTTAACTATACAGGTTAGAAAAAAAAAGTTCTAGATAACAAAGTTAGTAAAAAATGCTTAGCATCATAAATAAATACACATAAAAACTAAAACATATCATGGTTAGAATGCACTGACTCATTAGGTGACTACCATAATTGTTTGTTTTTGAATTTTGCGCAAAGCTACACGAGGGCCTCTCTAGTCTTACACTGCTAAATTAGGGACGGCTAGCAAGGCAGCTAGTCATCACCACCCACCGCCAACTCTTGGGCTACTCTTTTACCAACGGATAGTGGGATTGACTGTAACATTATATCGCCCACACGGCTGAAAGGGCGAGCATGTTTGGTGTGACAGGGATTCGAACCCACGACCCACAGATTGCGAGTCGAGTGCCTTAACCACCTGGCCATGCCGAGCCCGTTTAGCAATCAAGAAGACATCTAAACAACGAGATGATTTTAAAGAAACGTGGTGTGGAAATGAAAAGGTTTAAGAAACGTGTTTTGATTCTCAAAATTAAACAAAGTTATCAGTTTGTTTTAGATTTTAAAAAAAGATACATTGTATGATTTGGGGAGAAAAGAACCCCGGATTTTAGCGTTGTAAGTTCATAAACTTACCGCTGTCCTACCGGGAACCACAGACAACCCGTTCGTCTTAAGGGGCACTGTTAAGAGAACTCATGCTTTTGGTACATAGTTTTCTCGATAACAGAAAAAAGAAATAACAAATTGTTTTTAAAAGTTATATTTCTACACAATTTCACTGGGTATTCATCAGATTTATTTACTCCACAGTAACTCACTTCCAACCCAATTTTTATCTCTTTCTTTCACATTGCCAAAGAATTTCTCTCGCACGAATGTAACGTATGGAAATGTTTCTGATCACTGTTTTATAGTGGTTTCTGTTTACCATTCTTTTCTATAAAGATTACGTTTCACAGTACTCGTCAGTTTTTTCGTACCAAAAGCACGATGAACTTGTGTAAAACGTTCAGTTAAGTGCGGTTTGTTTCTGAAGGAAGAGTAAAATAGTGTAAAGTCAAAGTAATTCGTTTGATACCGAGTAATTTATCTTCCAATTGTTGCAAGATTTTATTCGCCATTAAGACCTATTAGAAAATTAACAGTCTTGTTCCTTGTAAAGTGTTGAATGATGTTTAGCCCAGTAAAAAAAGACTTAGTCCAATAATAAAAGGCTTAGTCCAGTAAAAAAGGCTTAGTCAAAAGCATCCCATTTTCTTTTATGCTCTTTTTCAAGTGCTGAATGACACTTCTCATTGAAACTGAGAAGAGAATGGTTTTAAAAGTTTGTTTGTGGTCAATCTGTGCTCTGCCCATGATGGGTATCGAAAACCAGTTTATAGAGTTATAAGCGTCTAGTCTTAAAGTAGGGCCACTGGGGCTTAAAAGTTTGAAGGCATGATATTAACAGGAACCTCCTGTTATTGTGAGGATAATTTATCATTAATGTTTACATTATGATCAAACACACTAAATGATTCACGAAATTGAACACCTGTCTATACTGCAGTGACGTAATTACTTTTCAGATGTGATTATATTTTACTTCCGTTAGGGTTTCTCTGCAACGTTAGTATTGGTTGTTAGCCAGTCGCTTCACTATAGATTACGTGAAAAGTACCCAATGTTCATTGTCACTCTCAGATTCTAGTAATACTTTAGTCTAAACGAACTACTAACTTTAGGTTAGTTTTTGAATATGAGGTTGTTTCTACTCCTATTTCAATTTTGCTATTTTTCTCATCGTGCACGTGGAAACTGGATGCTTCAGAATCTCTCCACTGGAACTAGACCGAGATATTTCTATGATACACAATCATCTGTTGACTCAAAAGCTACACCCACGTTTTCAAGCCAGGGATCAGTTGGAACTCAAAGACTGCTCCATGTTGGAGGTTCAACCAGTTTCGATATTGACAGACCTTTGAGCATGTTTCAAGAAAATATTTACAACGAATATCAAAGAAATAGTGAATTTATGGAACCAAGGTTTTTTAGCAACCAAGTTAATTTTGGTACAATATTTGGTAACTTACAGGGGGTTGAGAATGAAAATATAAAGAGACAAACAAACCAAGTGGACCAAAAACTGACAAATGGCTTAAATTATTATAATTTAGAAAATATGTTTACCTCAAGTACTCCTGTAACTGTATTAACTTCAGTGTCACGTGGAATGGACGAATCTAATCTGTTTAATTTATATGATGTATCAAATAACTACAGGCCTTATAACCAAATATACAACCCTACAAATCAGTACCAGATACCAACAAGTCAAGTCTTCCCATCTGTTAGTTATCTGCCAGGTAGTCAGTTTCACAGTTTTGAAAATCAACTTGCAAACTTCCAAGGTGCTTACGAGCCAAGGTATGAAAACAACGAGTTTATTTCAGGACTTAACGAATTAAATGTCAATCCGACTTTTGGTTACGTCGCCCCTTTTCCAACTCCAGATGTAAATAAACAGAATTTTGGAGGAGTTTTCACATCATCTTCGACATTTGGAGATCCTGGTTTATTTGCAATAAGATTTCAAAATAGTCATGAAGTTTCTTCGCGCTTACAGAATTATGGCAACCCGCAAGTCATGTATCTATCAAACAACCCGCAAGTCATGTATCCATTAAACAACCCGCAAGTCATGAATCCATCAAACAACCCGCAAGTCATGTATCCATCAAACAACCCGCAAGTCATGTATCCATCAAACAACCCGCAAGTCATGTATCCATTAAACAACCCGCAAGTCATGTATCCATCAAACAACCCGCAAGTCATGTATCCATCAAACAACCCGCAAATCATGTATCCATTAAACAACCCGCAAATCATGTATCCATCAAACAACCCGCAAGTCATGTATCCATTAAACAACCCGCAAGTCATGTATCCATTAAACAACCCGCAAGTCATGTATCCATCAAACTGTTGCTATAATCGTGAAGAAAGTGTTTTAAATATACCAGTGAGGAATGGCTATGGTAATACTGGTGCAAGTGGGTTTTTATCTGATAATAAAGTTGGTCGTAAAGGTTCTTACTTATCTCCAAACTTTGTTCCCATCAATAACAATAGGTCTGTTTCAGGTCTGTTTAATGTACTTGAAAACAATATCATAAACAGGAATAAAGACCGAGATTACAGTAATAGCTCCAAAGATATGACGACAGATCTGGACAACAACTTTGAATTAATTATTAACAATAAAAGATCGAACAACTTTGAAGGTAAGACAGAACAGACACTTTTAACAATCGAATAATTCATTTAATTCATCTTTTTTTGTACAAAATATATATTGAATATGTAATATGAAGCTTATTTTATTAATCACTAAATCTTGCAGTTCACACACAAATGTGTTCAACTTATTCTTAATATTTAAAGCCAGAAAAATTCAATATATCAAAATTCAGAATATTTGAGAATTAATTTCAACAATAGTTATTAGTTGACCCTATTTTGTCTTAAACGCAAAAGATGAAAAATTACTTATATGCTGTGTGTCAACAACAGCGACCGAATCCCGAATTTTAGCGTTATAAGCCCTCAGGCTTACCACTGAGCTACCGAGGGATGTCAATATGTGAAATGGGTTCTCTTTATTATAAGTCCAAGAAAAATAAGCCATCATTTCTAAAATGAATAATTAATATAAACTCTTATGTAAATTTCTAAATGTTTCACTACTCTGCATGTAATTCATAACAAATATTGATGTCGTGTATAATAAGTGTATAAATGAAGACTTTAATTTCGTCGTAAAAAGTATTTTGTAGTAATGTAACCTTACACCTATATCGTTACACGTCCGTATATTACTTAGCAGTGTTTCCTAATTCACATATCAAATAATATTTATTTCACGTCTCATTTAGCGAACAGTTTTGTATATATATCTTTATTTATTTCTAACTTGGAACAGACGTTATCGTATTGTTTCGTATGTTTTTAATGAATTTTAAAGTAACTTGAAATTGTTTTGTATTGTATAATATTCATTAGTTTTAAGGTGATAATTCTAATATCAGTCGAACTGTGAAATATATTGTTACGTATCTGCTCGTTTGTTAATTTCCGGTATATATTCTTTCCGAGGAACTTCAGCGATACAAGTCCTTTCTTAATTTAAACTAGTTTACTCTTCCTTGATACAACTTTGTAATACACAGAATTTCCACAGTCACTTTAAACTTAACAACCTTTATAACACACGCTATAAATCCCAGTGATTCACACACTTAACTTACGGCGCCTACTGTTCGCTTGACTCAGTTATCTATATCTTCAATCTATCTATATCTCTTCAATCTATCTCCCCATGTCGCGGGCTTTATTTGCCAGGTTTATATACTAAAAAGGAGGGCGTCTAGAAAACACTGGAACATTTGCGGGGTTCCCCGATAATTCTAGAAACTCCAGCGCGCATGCTCCTAGAGTCACACGACTTCCGCTGTCATAACAATATTTTTCTTCTAAGATATTACATCCATCTCTGTCAGTGTAAATAGAAAAAGAAGGTTGCAATTGTCTTTATTACATAAACTATTTCGTTCTTTCCAGAAGATGTGGAGTACATTGACGAACAAGAGGATTTTTTGAACCAGGTACGTCTAAAGTTTTATTCAAAGACAATTTTCACTAAGTTTTAATCATTGGTTACTTTAATAGCCAGTGTTATAAATAAACTGACCTTATTTCAAGGATTTACTGGTCGACGTATTGTATACTTAATAAAAATGTCTGTGACACAGGTACTAATAATTTTGTTTGTTTGTTTGTTTTGAATTTCACGTAAAGCTACACGAGGGTTATCTGCGCTAGTCGTCCCTAATTTAGCAGTGTAAGACTA